TTTTTTTTTTTTTTTTTTTTTTTTTTTTTTTTTTTTTTTTTTTTGCGCCTGGTAGTCACGCAAATAAAAAAAACACAAACTTTTTTTTTTCTAATGGAAACACACGCACACAAACACAATATTAATAATAATACTTTTTTTTTTAAACAAAAAAGAAGAGAAAATAAAAATTCAAAGAAAAGAAAAAGAATGGGGAAGAAAAAGACACACGATCTAACACCTCTCAATGAAAGCACCAATGATGAAGACCGTGTGTCTCGACTGTCGACAAGTCACTCCCGCGCCTTAAATCGCTCGATAGGTGTTAGGAAGTCGCACACTCGCAGCCTTTCTAACGAATAAAGTTGCAAAAGAATTCAAGAAGAAAACTAGAGCAAAGAGTTTGAACAAAAGTTCAGAATTTTGTATTGATTTCTGAATGATTAAAAATAACATGGGAAAGGGCCTTTATATAGGCATCAACTAGATCTAAGTCTATTCTACCTAAGGAACTAATAAAGCAATAAAATATTAAGAATCCTAAACAATCTAGAAATTATAAAGCAATAAGGAAACTAAATAACTAGGAGATCTTGTGCCTTGACTTGCACTCCAAGTAGTCTTGTCTTGCACTCCAAGTAGAAGGCTCCTAACCTCCTCTCTCTCTCTCTCTCTCTCTCTCTCTCTCTCTCTCTCTCTCTTTGTGCGCCACCTAGGACTTTGCCTCATGCCTCCTTGCCTTAGTCCTCGAGGACTAAGTTCGCGTCTCCTACGCTCGCCTATCCTCTTGCCTCGAGGATTAAGGTCTCGCGCCATGCGTGCACCATTCCTATTCCTTGAAGGATCATGATTTGGGCCCATATCCACCTTGCCTATTCCTACTAAGAATATGCTCCCGGCTACGTTGCCTGACCTTCAGAGGATTACTCTCGTCATCGATCCTTCTCGCGCGTTATGGCACTTAACTGCTTTTCCTAGTCCTGCGGGGTCTAGGATTCGCGCCATGCCTATTCCTATGAGGACTATGCTTGCTGCCTTGATCATGCCTCGCTCTTCGGTGCGCACGCGATCGCACCCTTCGCTCGCGTGGCTATCTCGCGCGTGTCGCCCAGCACCATGTGCACTGCGCCGTGCTCGTTCGCGCGCTGTGCCGCGCTCATCGCCGCTCGCGCCTTAGCCCACTCGCGGTCGCCCCATGTGCGCGCTATCCACCCAACATCCACCCCTCGCGCACAACTCGTCTCTTCAGCAATGTAAATGCCCGAGGCCTTAGCCTCTAAGCGTGGTGCGCGTCGCCGCGCACACCTTGCATCAGTCAACCTCATCGCCCGAGCCTGCTATCGTACACTCGGCCCCGGTCCACTGCACATAGCCCTTCCTCCAGCGCCCTAAGCCTTGCACCTCGCATGCACACTGCACGTAGTGCGAT